CCTATCTAATATTTTCCCACCAAAATGGTGGTAAAATATTTTCAAGGATTTCGTGGAAAATGGTGAGGTGGCGGGTGGGGTGGGAAAATATTTTCCGTGGAAATTGTGATTAGCCACAATCTTTTGCGCAACAAAATCAGTTTCCTTGTATTTATCTCCAATGGGTCTGTCACAGGCAATTGAATACGATGGCACAGCAGGTGATGGTAGCAAAGCGGCATTACTCATATCCTTTGAACTCGACTGAGTTGCATTCTTTAACACGGACCCCAAACCAAGTCTTAACGATACTGTACCAAACCAAATATCTACCACGGTACTAAACTTTTACTAGTTAATCTTCAACAATTCTGTATGATCTTGCAAGATGTATAATTGGGACATTTTTCACCCCTCCGATACAATCCGAACACCTTTGCAAACCTTCAAAACACCACTTCCACCAATGAACTCGTGCCCTTTTGAATCAAGAGTAGTTATCGAGATGAGATTTTTTTCAAACTTGGAACATGTCGAACGTGATCAAGTGTTCTAAATATTCCACCCAACAGCTTAAGTCCAACTCTACCAATACTAGCTACCCGACAGGTGGGTTGTTTTCCTTGACCATGACACCTTTCGAACTTGTTTCATATGTTGCAAACAAATACCAATTGGGACATATATGAAAAGTACAAGCTAAATCCAGAATTCAATCCTTGTCAGGATTAGAGTCGAAATAGCCAAGACGTCTCTACTACTAAAATAGTCCTCTGAGACATCGACTTCACCTGAAGCATTTGATTGTCTTCTCTTCTGATTTACAGCTAAATTTTCTTTGTTTAGTAACTTGTTACAATCCCTTTTGATGTGCCCTTTCCTCTTACAATAAAAATAAGCTTGATCACTGAAATTAGATTTTGACTTGCCCCTTCCATGACCACCGTGAACAATAAGGTCTTCTCCATCTCTAGCCTCAAATCTGACCAGATGTTTCATCATTTCCTTTAAAAAACAAAGCATTATACGTATCTTCAATGGTAAGAGTATCATGGTTATATAAAATCGTGTCTCTAAACAAAGTAAATAAAGTGAGCAATGAACATAAGAATCAAGCCAAATTTTCTTCATCGTACTTTACCTCTAAGGTCTCCAAATTAGCGACGATCTCCTTAAGCACAGCCAGGTGATCTTTGAAAGACTCAACTTCAGTCATTCGATGAGAATACAAACGTTGTTTTAGGTGCAATTTGTTGGTTAGACTCTTAGTTATGCACAATTACTTAAACTTCAACGACAAGGCAACTGTAGACTTCTCCTTCAAAATGTCTTAAAGAATGTTATTCGTAAGATGAAGATGAATTTGTGAAAGCGTCTACGTTGTTTCTCCTCCGTCGTCCAAGTTATGAACATCTTGTCAAATCTCAACAATATATCATCCTTCTTCTATTTGAGTGAGTACTGCTCACATCTTCACTTGCCACAACGAGAATCTAATGTTGCGATCTAAAAGCGGAAGTCATACTCCATGGTTGCCATCAAGAACAAAACACCTCGAACAAATAAAAAACAAAGCTCTGATACCACTTGTCAGAGACGGACGAGGTTATATGGCACGATATGAAGTATTGATCATAACAATAAAATGGATATAAAGATAAGAATTTGATTTGGCAGAGAAATAATGATTTTAATCAACAACTATAATGGAGTGAAAATACAATAATTTTGTTCCTACACAATGATTTTAACTTTCAGTAATACAGAACTTGTAAATAAGAGTCTATTATTTATAGGGGTGTATGTAAAACCCTAGAAATAGTCCTAACCATGGAAAGTAGGTCAAAAAATGCGTGTAAAGACAACAAGGAAAATCTCGAAATGTTGCAGCGCTTGAGCGCCTAGCTAGTGCTAGGTGTTGCTTAAGCATTAGGTGAGCGGCAGCTCCCTGCTAAAAAATTCGCCCCGCCACTCGAGCGTTAAGCAGGCACCGTCAACTCCATTTTTCCTCCTTAGACCCTATTTAGACAATTTCAAGCCCAATACTTTGTGCTTGCCCTAATTAGGTTTGAGTCACAAAATCCAACATTACAAAAGGACTGATGCAGTGCGAAATAAGGAATTAGGAATTCAAACGAAAACCTTAAGAACATGGAATTTGGAATCTACCAAATTATGAAAAAATAAATTCATGAATTTTATTAATTGATGATGATGAAAAAATATGAATTAACCCTTTATTTATAAGGGTTTATATGAAAACCTAGTTGAAACAAGCTAAAATTGAAAATAAACTAAATGACAAAAATAGCATAAAAACTTTAAGCGCAGTTTTCGAATCCTAAACGAAATCGGATGGCCAAAATCCATTATATATGACGGTAAAGCTACGTGTTCTATTCGTTTCTTCATTCTCTTTTCGAAATTGTATTATAGTCCCAAATCGAAACTCGACTGCCATACTTGCACTATTGTCTTTTTTCCTTTTCGGTCCAATTCTTCTTAAATCCATATTGAGTGAACTATTAAAATTACATTGAAATATTCTAGGCTATTTGAATGTAAGTTGTCAATGAGATTGAATAAGATTATGGAGATCGTCGAAGATTACGATTATTTATCATTATAATTGTATCATATATAAATAGATTGCTTTCACCATATTTAGTTGTGATTTTGGTTCTATATAATGAGAGAACCTCTCATGTAGAGGGGTATCGAGCTTTATTGAATATTATTGTGTATATTTGACATGGTATCAGAGCATTTTCTTTAGAATTTTCTCTTGTTTTCTTGGTTAGGTTTTCTCAAGGCGGGATGAGCTTTTTTGTTCCTCCTGTCCAGTCTTCGTCAAATTGAATCAATTGTTTCTTTTTCTTGTTCATGTTCCTTTTAACATATTGAGGAAGTAATTCAAAATCAGCATCAAATTAAGAGTCTTTGTCCACATATTTGTATCACTTTCTGGTGCTTTGGATTTATCTTGCGATTTTCTCTTCTTGATTTCTAACATTTTCCCATAATCAGTTGCTTTTTTCCTTCATACCATCAGTTTCTTTCGACTTTGGCATACTCGATTTTGTGTTGCCCTTACCATTAGAATTGGGGGTCTTTTGTCTGTCTTGCTTAGAATGACCAGAAATCTTAGCTGCATCAACATCTTTAGATTTGCATGATGCTTTTTGGGAATCATCAATAGATTTACCACTCAGTTTCTGAGACAAATTTTTAGATTTACCATTGGTATCATCTTCAGATTTACCATCAGAACTTGAGGTTTCATCGTCAACCTTAGGGTCAGCTTTGGTGAGGGTGGAATGAGAGTATACTCTTAGGCACCTGTCTTAAAGAAAGAACTTCAATCCATGATCATGGAATCTATAATTTTCCCTATAGTGAAGGGAATGGCCGAAGAAGGTTACAAGTTTATTGGGTTCTTTATGCTGAGCTCATGATTGAGGAGAAGTCTGGATTGCCGACGAGATGAGATGGCGATGAATTAGGGTTGACTGAGTTGGTCTTTATGTGGATTGATTGGGTTTAGGTTATTAGGCCTGTAGATATATTTGTATTGTGTTGTTATAGATGGGCTAAATTTATGGAATGGGCCATGGGCCGAAGTGTAGTGTAGTGGGCTTTGTCTGGATATATTTTGAGGTGAGGTATAGCTGTTTGGTTATATTTTGGCTGGATTTGGGCTTTGTTTAGTAAGCTCTCCATTTTAACTGGGGTGTGGATAATTGGGCTGATTGATCTTATTGTTAATTGGTTGATTAATTTTATTGTGGACTGAAATTTCTTTGCTAAAATTAGGGAGAAACATATTTGACTACTTTTTACGAGGGATTTAGCAATAATAATATAATATTACTACTAAAAAAAGGAGACATGAGAGTGCAGACCGTTTATTTTTGGTGAGTGCAGACCATTGAGATTTGGTTGCTGATGTGATGAGCTAGAGTTTTAGGTTCTCGAAAGAGGATCATCTTTGGGTTTTTGGTGTAGGCTGTTTTGTGGGATTTCTTCCACCTGCAGTATCTGGAGTTTTGGCTGATGTTTTGGTGTTAGAGCTTCTGTCGAAACCCAAATTATGTGTTCGACTAAATTCTCCCGACAGATAGAACTCACTGTGTGTGTCGGCACACTTCGTGTATTTCTTTTGAAAATTCTTTTTAGGGAATGTGAGTTCTCTTGAGTATCTTTGGAATGTTCTTTGTTAGTTACTGTACTATTTATTGTTTTTGGTCTCTCGTTATCACTAATTTTCGTAGATGATTGTTCTGATTTGGATTTCTACTTCGTGGGCACAAATATTGTCACTATCGCCAGTTCAAGATTGCAAATGATGTTTTTATCAGTATCAATTTGAGGGGGATGTCAATGAGATTGAATAAGATTACGGAGATCGTCGAATATTGAATAAGATACCGGAGATAGTCAAAAAATACAATTATATAATTATTATCGTATTAGATATAGATAAATTATTTTTACCATTAATTAATCATATTTAGTTATGATTTTGGTTCTACATAATGAGAGAACCTCTCGCATAGAGGGATATCGAGCCTTATTGAATATTATTGTGTATATTTGACATAAGTGAGGTGGTGCCTAAGCTTACTTGACAACTTTTGCTCTATAGTTAACTGTGGTCATATGCATCCATAACTTTTTCATTCATTTGAAAGAATAAATAGCATGATATTCATGTTGTTCTTCTGTAGTATAAACAAATTAAGCCATTCATTCCCCCTTTGTAGTAGTATTCGAAGGCCCATGATTAAATCAAACCTTCCAAATATAAGATAAAAACAATGAGGAGAAGCAGTTTAATTTCTTCCCTCATCTACCCGCTTGACTCTCGTAGCCTTCCCTGTCATTTTCCGGCCCATTCATCACCAGTGCACATCGCATTTAGGGCTCATTTTACAGGACTTCTGTTTTTGCTTCGTCTTCTTGTAGAAGAGTTTTATGAGAAAGTTATCTTAGGTCAACTTTCTCTAAAGACTCTTCTAGTCACTCAAAACACTTTCATAAAATTATTTAAACAAATTCAAAAGCAACTTTTTAATTTTAAAAGCAACTTTTGGTTTTTTGAAAGCCTCGCCAAACGGCCCTTAATTTGATATCTACAATAGATGGCTACTCGACGGCTCCATACAACTAGGTATTTTGTAGTGCTTATATAGGTCAGTTAACGCACTACAAGGTAACATCTTGCTTTTACTGCTATTTCACTTTTTGCCGTGGAGAGATTGCCTATCTTTTGGGGAAGGACTATTCGAATGGTAGAAGAGTCCATAGGTTGATTAGGAATCCATAGTCGTCTGGATTTTTAAATTTTTAAAATTTATTGCAATATGAGTGTTCTTTTCTACAATTTTCACAGGTGCACCTAGTAAAGTACGTTGGACCAATTGCATTAGACGTATATAATTTGGTATTGTTGTTGATGTTATTTGTACGAGAGCCTTGCTATTTGTACATAATCTTGTGTACATCAGGATATCCAGCCCCTCACATGGGGAAGGGGCCCACTTGGAGAAAATATTTTTTATTCAAGTGGGGTCCCGCCCTCATGTGAGAGGGTGGATACCTTGATGTACACAAAATTATGTACAAATAGATAAACTCTTTGTACGATTATTTTTATATTGAAAACTTTAATTGTCAGGTTATTGAAATGTTTTATCATTATTTTTCTGGCTAATCAATGAACAATATTCATATACCAGGCTTGCTAAGTATGAGGCTGGAGCTCAAAAAAAGAGAAGTGAAACCGAGGAAAGTGATTAATTCAAAGTCAAGATGGTGATATTGGTAATACTTTAATACCAACAAACTAAGATATAGGGGAGAAGCAACGAAAAATTTGGTGATTGAGGAACACACGAATGAGAATGATAATGACAATATGAATGAATCGAATGAGGATGAGGAAGTGATTGAACTTGCCAATTGAAATGTTTCAACCAATCTTCAACTTGATATTGAGGGTGTCACAGGGTAAGGATATGACAATAGATCTAATATGACCGAGAGGCACGAAAGTGTACGAAGAAGATTACATTAAATGAATTAGAGAGTTTTCTATACTCCATGCGACTGTCATAGTCTTAATCAACAAGTGATATAGTGAATTATTCTTAAAGTTATATCTTTGTAGTGATACAATGCATCTATACATTTTTGGCTTAAAGACTCGTAGTGTTGATTGAATGTAACAATTTGTACTAGATTACCGTGTCAAGCAAGAACTAAAAATTCTCAAATTCATATGTTGCTAAGGACTCGTCTTTAGTCAGTTTTGATCTTCTCTAAAGTTT